AATGACACATCCTTCTTTCTTTCCCTCCCTGCGCCCAATAGTAACCTGGGTAAGAAGGGTCTATTGCAGGTCTTGTTGAGTTCCAGCTTCAAGGATCAGACTGTGCTCAAAACGCCAGGCATTTTCTTGATGGAAAGAAGAGCTCTTTCAAGCGAGTTTGCTCTTTTATTAGTGTAGCTGCCAAGGAAAGGAGCATGGCTAGCCACATCATGAAGGAAGTAAACAGTGGCATCTTTGCCAGCTCAACTTCTTTCTGGTTTGCTTGTCACATTGACCGCAAGTGATGAGTAGAGCAGCACTTTGTGTTCTGGCTATTTCCATATCAAAAATTCAAAAACCAAATGCCTAAGATTTTGAACATCTTTACTTCAGCCATCTGTTTTGGTGGCCTTTTTTGGCACTCATGTATGTAAATTGTGTACTTGTGAGACATGGGCTTTTCCTGCACATTTTCTTTTTCTGTTTATAGTTAAATATAGTAACTATATTTACCCTGGTTGTGCAGCGGGGTAAACCACTGAGTTGCTGAACTTGCTGACCGAAAGGTTGGCAGTTCAAATATAGGAGTGGGGTGAGCTCCCTCTGTTAGCCCCAGCTTCTGCCAACCTAGCAGTTTGAAAACATGCAAATGTGAGTAGATCAATAGGTACCGCTCCAGTAGGAAGGTAACAGTTCTACATGCAGTTATGCTGGCCACATGACCTTGGAGGTGTCTACGGACAATGCCAGTTCTTTGTCTTAGAAATGGAGATGAGCACCAACCACCAGAGTCGGACACAACTAGACTTATTGTCAGAGGAAACCTTGATCTTTTTATAGTAAACTTTAGGAGATGGTGGATATTTCCCCATTTCCATCACCCATATTTATTTAATGAATATAATATTTATATCCCACCCTACATCAGGGTGGCTTACAAATAGTGTTAATACAGGTTAAACAGGTTGCACATTGTAACAAGCCATAACATAATGAGCAATTCAATAATGTGATAAAAACAGAAACCTAAAACTTAAATGTTATATAATTATAGACATATAAAACAGTCTGTGGGTTGTATTAATGAGATCAAAAGGCCTTGATGCCAACCAAGTTTTAAATTAGCATTTAAATGACTTTAATGTTGATGTCATTCATACTTCCAGAGGGAAAGAATTCCACGGTTGGTGTGCCAGCTGAGAAGGCTTTCACCTTTATCCCTACACATTGAATTGACTTCACTGGTGGGACTAAGGCCCCTTCTACACTGCCATATAATCCAGATTATCAAATCAGATAATCCACAGTATGTGCTTTGAATTGGATTATATGAGTCTACATTGCCATATAATCCAGTTCAAGGCAGAGAATCTGTATTTTATATAGCAGTATAGAAGGGGCCAAAGAGAATGGCTAGACATCGTGTTAACAATCACTGGTACAATCGTGCTGTTTATTTGGATCCAGGATTTGTCTCATATTCTTCCCTGTATTTTAAAGCCCCTTCCACACAACTGAATTAAATTCCACATTATCTGCTTACAACTGGGATATAGGGCAATGTGGACACAGATAACCCAGTTCAAAGCAGATATTGTGGGATTTTCCGCCTTGGTATTCTGGGTTATATGGCTGTATGGAAAAGCCCTTGGTTGTCCTTAAATGCTAGGATTTCTTGGATTACTGCTCTTTCAACCTTTCCACTAATGCCACTGGTTAAATTATGTCTTAAGAGCCAAAATTCATCCTTGTCCATTAAAGACTTTAACTTAGGAACGAGGAACCTTTTCCAGACCAGTTTGGAAAGGATCCAAATGTTCACATTCCAGCAAAATCAAAGCAACCCTGATAGATGGCCATGCAGCCTCTGTTTGAAAGCCTCCAAAGAAGGAGCTTCCACAACACTCCGCAGCAGAGAGTTCCACTGTTGAACAGTTCTTCCGGTCAGGAAGTTCTTAATGTTAAGGTAGAATCTCCTTTCCCTTAATTTAAACCCATTGCTCCGAATCCTAGTCTCCAGGGCAGCAGAAAACTATTGTTGTGTTGATATTGTATATTATGCTTTGGTGGTTTTATCTTGTATATCGTTGTTGATTTTTAGGCTTGTTGTAAACCGCGTTGAGTCGCCTGTTAGGCTGAGAAACTGCGGTATACAAGTAAAGTAATTAATTAAATAAATAAATAAAACAAGCTTGCTTCCTCTTCCTTTTGACAGCCTTTCAAATATCTAAACACCCCTGATGTTGATTAGAATTGATAACAGAAGTGACTTGTGGACTAATTGACAATCCTTATTTCAGCTTTAAAATGAGTAGTGAGTAGACGGTAGAAAACCATGGTTGGTTTGTCCTTCTTTCTCCCTGCAGTGACTAAGGGGCTTTTCTGCGTTGTCTGTGGATTGCGTGGAAATGTGTGGTTCAGAATCATATCCAGATATGCCATTCAGTCTGCAGCCACAGGTCATGCCACACAACCCATTCTCAAGGTTAGCATAGTGTTGTCAGCAGAGTGACATTGAGTGGAAAGGTTTGTGTGGTGCAGGGCCCATTAAGGCTTGCTGCAATGGAAGGTAAAGCGATTTGCAGGTCTTGCAAGCCTCAGTTCACAGAGAGTTCAAGCCTGAGGCATTATTTGGTTGTCAGACCTGAAGCTTTTGTTTTATAACCCTTGGGAATGTGTTGACTGGGTGCTGGGGACTCACTGTGCTACTAGCCTTGATTCATCTTGATGAAAGTGGAGTAAGAGGTCGCAAGTTAGCTTTTGGTTGTTTTGGTCCAAATTTAGGGAACTTTAGACCCTCCAGATCTTTTGAGTAAACTTCCACCAGTTGAAACAACACTAAACACAGATGATACAGAATTCTGGGAGGTGTAGTCCAAAGTAACTTTTCTCAGCTCTGATTGTGCCCTCCATCTTGTTTCTTTTGCAGAAAGGCTGGGTGCTTTGCCTGGCACAGAGTTACTCTTGAACACATTTGAGATCAGTAGACGTATGCGTCAACACTGTTGATGCAGCTGTGTTGTCCTTTGGATCCTGTCTCAATTCAGGGACCTCATGCTGGCCTATGAAGCCCTCCCTGGCAAATCATCAAGACTGCTTTTCATCATATGAATGCTCACTCTTTACTTCATCTTTCAAATCTGACGTTTGCAAATAAAACAGACCAAGACTTCCTCTGTTATGGCCCCGAAACTCAAGGAAGATTTGTTCCCACCAACTTTGAGAAAAATGTGGGGAAATGTCTTTTGTCCTGGCGTGCCTTTCAGGGAGTGGTGGACTGCATTACATTGCAGCCATTTAGGGTTTTTTTTTAATGTTATATATTAATATGACTATTTAAGTGGTCAATTATTTATGATTTAATTATTTCTAAGCAACCCTAAATTATCAACAGTATAATTTATTTCTTTTGAAAATATCCTTTACACCACTCTTTATCTGGAGAGGTTCCAGAAGCACTTTGAAGATCTGTAGAAAACAGAGGGGTCCTGCTCTACAGCCTATAGTCAAAACGTTACCACCCAAAAAGAAATGGGAAAAATATGGAGAGAGGAAGAGAAAGGGAAACTTAGGAAACCTAGGAAAGGGAAACCTGCCAGACCAATCTGATCTGTTTTTTTTAATAGAGTTACAAACTGGGTAGATGCAGGGAACGCTGTGGATGTAGCGTATCTGAATTTCAGTAAGGCCTTCCCCCATGACCTTCTGGCAAACAAACTAGTCTAATGTGGGCTAGGCAAACTATGGTTAGGTGGATCTGTAACTGGTTAAGTGAACAAACCCAAAGGGTGTTCACCAATGCTTCCTTTTCATTCTGGAAAGAAGTGATGAGTGGAGTGCCATAAGCAGGGTTCCATCCTGGGCCCTTTCCTGTTCAATGTATTTATTAATGGCTTAAATGAGGAGTTAGAGGGCATGATCATCAAGTTAACAGACAGCACCAAATTGGGAGGTATAGCCCTAGAAGACATGAGCAGAATTCAAAATGATCTGAACAGATTAGAGAGATGATTGGGACACATGCAATATACTCCACTTAGGCAGAAAAAATGAAATGCAAAGATACAGAATGGGGGATGCATGGCTGGACAGTAGTACATGTGAAAAAGATCTTGGAGTCCTCATGGACAGCAAGTTAAACATGAGCCAGCAATAATAATAATAATAATAATAATAATAATAATAATAATAATAATAATAATATAAAACTTTATTTATACCCACCACCATCTCCCTAAAGGGACTCAGGGCGACTTACATGAGGCATGTCATGCGGCAGCTAAAAAAGCCAATGGGATTTTGGCCTGCATAAATAGGAGTCTAGTGTCTAGATCCAGGGAAGTCATGCTACCCCTCTATTCTACCTTGGTCAGACCACATGTGGAATTACACTGTGTCCAGTTCTGTGTCCACCGCAATTGAAGATAAATGTTGACAAGATAGAATGTGTCCACAGGAGGGTGACTAAAACAATCAAGGGTCTGGAGAACAAGCCCTATGAGGAGCAGCTCAAAGAGCTGGGCATGTGTAGCCTGCAAAAGAGAAGGCTGAGAGGAGACATAATAAGGGCCATGTATAAAGATGTGGGGGAAAGTCATAGGAAGGAGGGAGCAAGCTTGTTTTCTGCTGCCCTGGAGACTAGGATGTGGAACAATGTCTTCAAACTACAAGAAAGGAGATTCCATCTGAACATTGGGAAGAACTTCCTTACTGTGAGTACTGTTCAGCAGTGGAACTCTCTGCCCTAGAGTGTGGTGGAGGCTCCTTCTTTGGAGGCTTTTATGAAGAGGCTTTGTGTCCATCTGTCGAGTGTGCTTTGAATGCGATTTTCCTTCTTCTTGGCTGGGGGTTTGGACTGGATGGCCCACAATGTCTCTTCCAGCTCTAGGATTCTATTATTCTAGGTGCATACAAATGTAACATGGACATTATCTTCCTCTATGAGGTTAACGAGTACTGTGAAGGAAGAGTCTTCCTGCTCTGTACCAAATATGTATTTTAACAGATATTCTTAATTTTAGCAACATCGTTACAAATATGAAGATTGGGAAAAAGCCATCAACACGGGATGCTTTTAGGGCTTCCAATCAAATTCAGTTTGACGATGACGGGCGAGGTTATACAGTTGATAGAAGTCTTCGTGATTACAGTAAATTCAAAAGGTACTTCTTTTGGTCTTCATTTGCATCTCCCTGCATCATTATTATAATAAAAATGGGGTAGTAATTTATCATTTAACACATGTAGTGCAAGTTACTTAGGAAAGACTTTGTTGCTTGGGATTCCTACATTATTCATTTTGAGTGCCATTTTCACTTTAGGCCATCTGCCTGTGTTGAGAAGTGTTTTCGTCATGTTTTTGAAAAAGTAAACAGCTTTTGAAAACTTTTTAAAAAACCAGTTTCAGAAAAATAAACATCAGGTAACCCTCAGTGTTTAAACAAAGAACACAATCCCATATTGTTATGATGAGCTGCTGTTCAAAATCCAGTATGCAAACTTTTGAGTCCAATATGAGTATTTCTCAGAATGTATATTCAAGAGAAAACAAATAGCTGGAAAATGCTTTTAGGCAGGATGTTGGGTTAGCCCAGAGCTGATGCAGCATAAGAATACAGGGTATAAAGCACTAGAAAAACACTAGAATGTATCACCATTAGTAGTGTAGTCCTGCAGAGATCTGCTATAAGAACCTATTTTGAATAGGAATACATTTGGCTCCCCACTTTTTTAAGTTTTACATTCACAATTTTGATATTACTTCATTGCTGTATTTGCTATTGCTTCCGCTGCTACCCAGCACATGAACAACAACCATAACAATAAACGCCTTCTCTCTAGGCATGACTGAGTCCCTCCAGGGTGATTCTGTGGGCAACTTCTGCTGGAGTTTGACCATAGAATTGCCCTGGAAGACCTAGCATTACCTAGCATTGCCTACTCAGGTAAAACATAGCATTTCTAATTTTTTTAATTTATATTTGTAGTTTTCTCAGTAGAAAAATACCCCCCTCAAGGAACTGTGATTTTGCTTTGTAAGACATGCACCAGTCCCACAAAACCAGTGGTTCTCAACCTGTGGGTCCCCAGGTGTTTTGGCCTACAACTCCCAGAAATCCCAGCCAGTTTACCAGCTGTTACAATTTCTGGGAGTTGAAGGCCAAAACATTTGGGGACCCACAGGTTGAGGACCACCGTTTTAGTGTATAATAGCTTGTCTTTTTCCCTTTCCTTTCATGGCCCTTATGGCTTGGAAGATGCATTTAAAAGCATAGGGGAAAGCCTGCTGGAAGCGATCACAGTAAGATTTCCAATTGGGCTTGGCAGGATTTCATACTTTACATGGATATGTGCTGTTCTACTTGATTAATAAGTTGAGAATTAATGGAGGTTTTTAATGGTTAAAAGTTTTTTTCTTTCTTTTCTGCCTAGAAAAGGCATATATTCTGGAAAAAGATTCAACATCTTCCCTCCTGCTTCAGAAACAGAAGGAGCACTGGAAAAAGGTTAGTGGAGACGCAAAATCAAGAAACAAGACAAGAATATAATTTCATAGCATGCAACCAATCCATAATTCTGCAGTAAATCCTTGGGTTGATAAGATGACACACAAGTTTGAAGGTTATCTGTGTGCTGTGTCCATGTAACTAGAAAAGTCAGTTTGTTGGGGCATATCTGGATCCTGGAATCTGGTACAACCGCTACACAATAATTCGATATGCCCTGAAGTTTGAGTGGAAATTTTTAGAAGCCTGGCTTTTAGGTATATGCTTGAAGAGTGCATGAAAACTAGGATTTTATACACTAAGGTTTATTTCTGAAGAAATGTGCTTAATAGTGTTGTATAATAAAAAGAGGGGTGAGGTTAATTAGTCATTGCACATATCTTTGAGCTTAATAATAATAATAATAATAATTATTATTATTATTATTATTATTATTATTTTTTTTTTACCCACTTTTTCTCATGGCTCAAGGTGGGTTACAACATTGCTAAACCACATAATCAAAACACATAATCATTTAAAAACACTCTGTAAAATGCACATATTAAAACATATTTCCATATAACTGTATTCCTTCAATTCTGTTTTATTATTTACTTTTTATATGTTTTTGCTGTATCACTTTTTTAGTTTTTAATTGCCTTGTGTCTCAATCCTGTGTAAATAATAATAATATGTGCAATTACTAACATTAGGAGCTCTCTTGTTTATTATACAGAGGGATCTTGATATTTGGTTCCAGGGCTCCATGGATACCAAAATCTTTGCCTGCTCCTATTATATGCAATGGCATAGGAAAATGGCATTCTTGATATAAAAAGCAACCAAATTAGTTCTGGAAAGAACTCAAGGATCTGTAAAATGATGGTGGGTTACAGCAGGATATGTCTGCATGTAAGTGCTGCAAATTTAAGCCTAGCTTTTTGGAATTTTTTCACCAAATATTTTGAACCATGGTTGATTGAATCCAAGGATGCAGAACCCATGGGTATGAAGGACTGACTGAGTAAAATTACATATTCAAGTTGGTGTCAGAAGTGTATAAAAATGCCCACACTTGGTAGGCAATATGTTTGGTATCTGGGTTGATCAAGAACTCTGCTGTATGCTTTTGCCAAGGAGTTATCTTTGCTTCTCAAAGTTAGTAAAAGTTAGTTGCTGCTCTTCTGGACACAGCCCAGATACTCCATTTATCCCTTCGCTTTCCATTTGTAACCTACTTATGGTCCCTATGCATGCAAGATGTTACCTTCCATTTGATTTGAGGAGAGTTGTATGAATTAAGACCAATACAGGTATTTGATACTCAGGTCAGAGGATAGGGGTTGTGTCTCAGTAGGAGAGTACATGTTTTGTACATGTTTTGTGTGGAAAAGATCCTGCATTTAGTTGATAGTCTCTCCAGATAAGGCTGGGAAAGACTGCAATCCAAACTCCTAAAGTAAAGAGTGGTGAAAGTCAGAGAGGAGGTGAAGCTTTTTGGTTAGATGATATGTCAATGTGTGCTGTGTGTGCTTGCTTATACCTAAGGAGTTCACAAAATCATTTTTATTTTATTTTATTTATTTACTGACAGTATTTATATTCCGCCCTTCTCACCCTGAAGGGGACTCACAGCTGATCACAGAATGCACATATACGGCAAACATTCAGTGCCGTTTATACACTGACAAGACAGGCAATTGTACATAGATAGAGGTATATATAGTCTTTTCCCATTATCGGCATATTGGAGGCTTGTGCTCGGTTCTGGCCCGGTGGGGGTGCTGTACCTCCCTGCTTTAAGCAGTACCTATTTGTCACATTTTGCTTTCAAACTGCTAGGTAGGCAGAAGCTGGGCTAAAGGCCAGGAGCTTACACTGACCCGGGCTTCAAACTGTCAACCTTTTGTATTGGCAAGATTTACTGCAGCTGGTGGTTAATCTGCTGTGCTAAAGCTCAGCCTAGAACAAAATTGTCCATACTGCCTTTCTCTCTTCATAGGGACAAGGTTCGGTTCTCTGACGTAATTATGTATAATTCTACAGTCACGTAGTAATATCATTTGCAATTCTGGGATTTTTCACCCTTGGAATCCCAGATGTAGTTGGAGTGGTAGCCATTCTAAGTGGGCATGCCAAAAGTAGTAATTCAGACAAACCTAAGATTTGGATCCAGTTTTTTTTAGAGAACTTGATCATTAGATCTAGTGCAGAGGAAATGAACCTGAATCAAAACTCCTCTTCAATGGGGAATCAAGTTTAGAGTGCTAATGGTTCAGTTTACTAGGCTATGCTCTTCGTTAAATATGATCAACTTAAGCAAACATGACATCAACACATTCCTTCTCACTGATGCCATACCTTTGACTTGCTGTTACAATTTCTTCTTGGGACTGTTGAATGGCACATGAAGAGAAACGGTGATGTGGCAAAAAGAATTGCATGTGTTTCAATACATCGTGCTTAGGATAAGTTTGTTTTGATGATTCTGACAAGTACCGTATATTCCGGCATATAAGACGACTGGGCGTATAAGACGACCCCCAACTTTTCCAGTTAAAATATAGAGTTAATACGACTCCCATGCATAAGACTACACCTGCGTATAAGACGACCCCTGACTTTTGAAAAGATTTTCTTGGGTTAAAAAGTAGTCTTATACGGCAGAATATACTGTAGGTTTGTGTTGCAGTAGCCAAAAGACATTTCAAGCCTGTTTTTGTGAAAGTTGGCAATCTGATACCTTGCGAATTGGATATATGTATATATACAAACCTTCACATTTGTTCATAGTGTCAACACCAACACTTTGGGATCTGGAACTTGCCAAAGAAATAGAAGCAATTACTCAGCAACCCCCTCTGAATGCTTTTGAGGAGATGATACAGTGGACAAAAGAAGAGAAACTTTGGGAGTTCCCAATTAACAACGAAGCCGGTAAGAAACATGTCGAAGTCTCCATTCAGTTTTACTTCCTACATTCTGCAGCAGTGGTTCTCAACTTGTGGGTCTCCAGATGTTTTGGCCTTCAGCTCCCAGAAATCCTAACAGCTGGCAAACTGGCTGGGATTTCTGGGATTTGCAGGTCAAAACACCTTGGGACCCACAGGTTGAGAACCACTGATCTATAGCCTATAATACAATAATGTCAGTTTTGGAGTTCACTTAATTGGTTATGAGACTTAGTTTTTGGCTGTTTTCAAGTATTGTTGACTGTTCATCTGTTTTTTAAATAATCAAAACTCAATCCACACCAGCATTAGCCTGGGTTGTATCCAGTTAACTTCCACTAAATGACTGAATTAAAGACCTGTTGCCCAAGCAAAAGCTCTCTCATGAAATCTTAAATTTTTGAGACAGATTTAAAAATCAAAACTGGTACCGAATCTCTTAGTTTACTCATTTATTCAACGCAATAGCAATTTTAATACATACATGGCTGTGAAGGGATTGGTTGGTTGAGAGAAGAACTGAAAATAAAGTATAGCAAAAAGATATTAATCCAAAAGTTATTGCTCTCAATTAACTGTTATAGGGACGGTTTGAGCTAAATAATTTTGATATGTTGTCAAAGACTTTCATGGCTGGAATCACTGGGTTGTTGTAGGTTTTTCACGCTGTATGGCCATGTTCTAGAAGTACTTCTAGAACATGGCCATACAGCCTGAAAAACCTACAGCAACCCATTAAATAATTTTATCCTTGTTGTTATATTGTATTTTAATTATATTGAATTTTAACATGCAAGATCTTTATGGCAATTCATTTATGTAGTATTTTTATAATTGGGTTGCTGTGAGTTTTTCAGGTTGTATGGCCATGTTCCAGAAGCATTATCTCCTGATCTTCACCCACGTCAATGTCAGACATCCTCAGAGGTTGTGAGGTCTGTTGGAAACTAGGCAAGTGAAGTTTATATATCTGTGGGATGTCCAGAGTGGTAGAAAGAACTCTTGTCTGCTTGAGGAAAGTGTGAATGTTGCAATAGGCCACCTTGATTAGCACTGAATGGCGTTGCTACTTCAAAGCCTGGATGATTGCCACATGGGGTAATCCGTTGTTGGGAGGTGTTAGCTGGCCCTGATTGTTTTTTGTCTGGGATCCCCCTGCTTTTTAAGTGTTGTTCTTTACTTACTGTCCTGATTTTAGAGTTTTTTAAAATACTAGTAGCCAGATTTTGTTCATTGTCATGAATATATAAACCTCACTTGCCTAGTTTCCAACAGACACCCCCCCCCCCCCCCCCCACCTTAGGATGCCTGCCATAGATGTGGGTAAAACATCCGAAGAGAATGCTTCTGAAACATGACCATACAGCCCGGAAAACTCATAGCAACCCAGTGATACTGGCCATGAAAACCTTTGACAACATATACTTTTATAATGTTTTATACCATTGTCCTTTTATACAGTTTAATATTGTCGGTGTTTATATTGTTTTATATCATTGCCTTTTATATATTGTTTATCTGTGAATGCATATGGTCTGTGCATTAATAAACAGAATGGCTATTAATACTAAAGTTGAAAGAATCAAATCATGATTTTATTTTAGTTTTAAAAACACATTTAGGGCATTAAAAAATAACAGACACAACGCCCTTCATTAAATATGCCATCTGCTGCATTGAGTTAAAAAAAAAACCAAAGACTTGCCTACATAAAAAGGCTTTTGCCTACTGGCAGGAAGACAACAAGGAGCGGCCAACAGATCCTCCCATGCGAAGGCTTTTGGCAACTTGGGAGCCACCAAAAAGGCACTCTGGACAAAGTAATGTCTCCATTTGCTCCTAGGGGAATATCCAAGGGCAACAGGCAGAGCTTGGGTGGAAAAGAAAACCAGAAAATGTTCTTTGTTTATAAAACATATTTGTCTTTCCTATTGACTCCAAAAGACTTTCAGGATGGCTTGCAGATCGCAGAAATGAGACAGAACTCCCCTGTAAGGTTACAACCTCAACACAAGACAGAAAGAAATGGGATTGGGAAGGAGGAGATGGCGTATAAACTCAGGCATTTGATGTATGGTTGTGACATCATGCAGGCAACAATACACTTCGTTTAGCAAATCACAGATTAAAATTAAGTCTAGCATCTTCTTCCAGTTGGCTGCTATGGTGTGCTGGGCAGGGAATTGGGGTTGTCTGCTTGCCCTGGATCCAGGCCCCATCACCAGATACTGCTTCCTCTCACTCTGATAGCATTAGTTTGTCCAAGTAGGCAAGGTTTAAGTCCACAAGGCAGAGCAATAGCAGGAAGGTGGGAACAAGCTGGCACAGTCTTGCCTCTTAGTCACTTGTTGACTGCAGCAGTATTGCTTCCTTATGTGCATCTGGCATCACAGATAGACTGTCCTTATTACCCAATATCAGCTCAAAACAAAATGCTTCCAGAGGAACACTGTTCCAATGCTGAGAAATGAACCATCAGGCAATAAATTTGAATCAGCCCACAGACTGATTCACAACCAGTATGTCACGAGTTGATGCAGCATAACAAAACTGAAGTTATCAAAAACCAGTAAGCAAAGTTTATTAGATCAACAATAATCCAAGGGCTCTCCATTAATTGTGGTATCATTAGCTTTCTTGTATATTAATTCTCAGGAAAAAAATAACTGATGTTGTTGTAGGTTTTTTTCGGGCTATATGGCCATGTTCTAGAGGCATTATCTCCTGTCGTTTCGCCTGCATCTATGGCAAGCATCCTCAGAGGTAGTGAGGTCTGTTGGAACTAGGAAAAAGGGTTTATATATCTGTGGAATAAACAGAGTGGGACAAAGGACTCTTGCCTGTTGGAGCTAGGTGTGAATGTTTCAACTGACCACCTTGATTAGCATTTGATGGCCTGGCAGTGCCTGGGGCAATCTTTTGTTGAGAGGTGATTAGATGTCCTTGTTTGTTTCCTCTCTGCTGTTTTGCTGTTGTAATTTTAGAGTTTTTTTAATATGGTAGCCAGATTTTGTTCATTTTCATGGTTTCCTCCTTTCTGTTGAAATTCTTCACATGCTTGTGGATTTCAATGGCTTCTCTGTGTAGTATGACATGGTTGTGAGCATGGTCCAGCATTTCTGTGTCCTCAAATAAAATGTTGTGTCCAGGTTGGTTCATCAGGTGCTCTGCTATGGCCTTTCATGCCTTTCATGTTCCTTGATGTGTGTTTGGGCAATGCTGCGTTTGGTGGTCCCTATGTAGACTTGTCCACTGCTGCATGGTATACGGTAGACTCCTGCAAAAGCGAGAGGATCCCTTTTGTCCTTTGCTGAACGTAGCATTTGTTGGATTTTCTTGGTGGGTCTGTAGATAGTTTGTATGTTGTGTTTCCTCATCAGCTTCCCTATGCGGTCAGTGGTTCCCTTGATGTATGGCAAGAACACTTTTCCTCTGGGTGGATCTTTGTTTTTACTCTGGTGGCTTGTTCGTGGTCTTGCAGCTCTTCTGATGTCTGAGGTGGAGTATCCATTGGCCTGTAGAGCCCAGTTTAGGTGGTTGAGTTCATCTTGGAGGAGGTGGGGTTCGCATGAACAAAATCTGGCTACCAGTATTAAAAAACTCTAAAATTAGAACAGCACAACAACACAGAGGAAACAAACAAGGACATCTAATCACCTCTCAGCAAAAGATTGCTCCAGGCATTGCCAGGACATCAAATGCTAATCAAGGTGGTCAGTTGAAACATTCACACCTAGCTCTAGCAGGCTGGAGTCCTTTGTCCCATCCTGGTCATTCCACAGATATATAAACCCTTTTTCCTAGTTCCAACAGATCTCACAGCCTCTGAGGATGCTTGCCATAGATGCAGGCGAAACGTCAGGAGAGAATGCCTCTAGAACATGGCCATATAGCCCGAAAAAACCTACAACAACCCAGTGATTCCAGCCATGAAAGCCTTTGACAATACATTAAAATAACTGATGTTTTTGCAGTAATTTCATGTTTTAACATCTCTTGTGGTTGACTTCTTTAGGGCTTGAAGATGATGCTGAATTTTATGAGCATATATTTATGGATAAACATTTGGAAAACTTCCCCAGGGAAGGACCAATCCGCCACTTTATGGAACTTGTGACTTGTGGGCTTTCCAAAAATCCATACCTAAGTGTTAAAGAAAAGGTGGAACACATTGAATGGTTTCGGGATTACTTTAAGGAAAAGGAAGAGTTGCTCAAGGAAATAGAAGCGCATGAAAAGGAAATGTTGATCCAGAGAGAGAACCTATCCAAGTGAAAACTGTTTTGAAAAATAATACTACAGCGGCTCTGTGTAAATGTACAGAATTAAAATGAATCCAACAAAAAGAAGGGAGTTAAAGTGGTATATAAGCAAGCATTGATCATTCTTATTCATGGTTTGCCAAAACATGATTTTTGAAGATAAACGTTTTGTCATTGTGTGTGTGTGTGTTTTTTTTTTATCGTGTCAGGAGCAACTTGAGAAACTGCAAGTCGCTTCTGGTGTGAGAGAATTGGCCGTCTGCAAGGACGTTGCCCAGGGGACACCCAAATGTTTTACCATCCTATGAGAAGCTTCTCACTTGTCCCTTCATGAGAAGCTAGAGCTGACAGATGGGAGCTCACCCCACTCCCCAGATTCGAACTGACGACCTTTCTTTCAGCATTCCTGCCAACACAAGGGTTTAACTATTGCACCGCCGCAACTATATATATGATGAGAATTGCACACATTATTTTCTTTCTCAGATTTTGATGCAGTTCAGTTATCATAAACTCTCCTGTTTGAGGCTTGATTATTTCTTTCTATAAAATAACCATGGCAAATTTGTTTGTATTGCAAACCACAAGCAACTTTCCTCTTTTCTTTCCGTATAGTGCTGGTATATAACTTGGTTCATTCCTGGCCATGATAGCTGAGACCTGTAATCTTATTTAGATTTAACTTTGATTGGAGCCCCCAGTGGCGCAGTGGGTTAAACCGCTGAGCTTTTTAACTTGCTGATTGAAAGGTCGGCAGTTCGAATCCGGGGAGTGGGGTGAGCTCCCCCTATTAGCCCCAGCTTCTGCAAACCTAGATGTTCAAAAACATGCAAATATGAGTAGATCAGTAGGTACTGCTCTGACGGGAAGGTAATAGCGCTCCATGCAGTCATGCTGGCCTCATGATCTCATAGGCGTCTATGGACAATGCCAGCTTTTTGGCTTAGAAATGGAGATGAGCACCTCTGCCAGATTCGGACACAACTAGACTAACATCAAGGGGAAACCTTTACGTTTACTTAGTTTATATGTCTTCATCCAGTTAGTCATCCTTCCCAAAAACTGGTTCAGATCCAGTTTGCTCCTAGAACTGATGAAAATAATAAATGCAGCTATTTGATCTCTCTCAGTCGCTTCATATAAATATTAACACTTCTGTGCTAATGAGGTTGCTCTGAGTTCCAACTGCTACTTGAAATATTTATAGATTTTCTTTGGCAAACGTGAATCACTTCATACTCCGTGTCTTTCTCAACAATTAGGCAATCAGTTGTCATTTTCTTCTTTTTTTTCATTTGGCCTTTAAAAGTTATTTAAATTACTAAGTTGTCAAGTATCTGGTTTGTGCCAGTGGAAATGATTGGCAAAGTAAGTTTTAACCCCAGTAAAAACTCACCATAGAAGTGTCAATTTTTTGCCTGTATCATAAATTCCATTTTGTGTGATTATACCATACTGAGAGCACTGATGATGTTATGGTTTTGTACACCCCCCCCCCTTCCAAATAAAATAAATTCTCATTTTTCAAGAAGTAGAGTCTGCTGGCTCCAAAGAATAAATTTAACATAAGGATTAAATCTGTTTCAAGTTTATTTTGACACAGGCATTAACATTCATCCCCACAGTGCAAGCCATGGAATATTTTTCCCCTTGTTGTTATTTGTATTGTGCTTTTAAGAAAGGGAACTCTTTCAGACAGTGGATCTCCTTTGATCTTTTTCTGTGAGCTCCAGGCAGCATTTCTTTTTGTTTTACTTTCATTTCTAAGAATATTACGAGGTTGAAGTTATTATAATAATGTTTTTTTTTGTTCAGTTTCACTTTTGAACTAGAATTATTATTAAATCAAATCACATTTTTATTTCCAGCTAAGACTTTTAAAAGATGCATTGTGGTGAACGGGGCCGCAGTGGCACAGCAAGTTAAATCTCTAAGCTGCAGAACTTGCTGATTGGAAAGTTGGCGGTTCAAATCCGCAGGACGGGGTAAGCTCCCGTTGATAGCCCCAGCTTCTACCAACCTAGCAGTTCGAAAACTTGAAAACGTGAGTCGATCAATAAGTATTATTTATTTATTTATTTAGTACATTTCTATACTGCCCCTCTCAGCCTTCTGGCGACTCGAGGCGGTTTACAAGGCAAGAATTCAATGCCACCAAGGACACAATGACAATATACAATTTAAAAAAATATCAGCAGCAATAAAACCAAACATTATAATGAAACATACTTCAATCGATAATAATTAAAACAATGTCCATATAGTTATTCCATTATTATATCCGTTACTCTGTATTTTCAAATGCCCGCTCAAAATAGCCATGTCTTAAGATGCTTCCGGAATGATAGGAGCGAGGAAGCCAATCTAATATCCCTAGAAAGGGCATTCCATAGCCAAGGGGGCACCACTGAGAAGGCCCTGTCTCTCGTTCCCACCAACCGTACTTGTGATGATGGCGGGACCGAGAGCAGGGCCTCTCCAGATGAAGTACCTCTCTGGTGGGAAGGTAACAAGCGCTCCATGCAGTCATGCCAGCCACATGACCTTGGAGGTGTCTATGGACAACGCCGGCTCTTTGAGTAATGCTACCCCTCTATTCTGCTTTGGTTAGACCACATCTGGAATATTGTGTCCAATTCTGGGCACCACAATTCAAGAGAGATATTGACAAGCTGGAATGTGTCCAGAGGAGGCGACTAAAATGATCAAGGGTCTGGAGAACAAGCTCTGTGAGGAGCGGCTTAAAATTCTGGGCACCACAATTCAAGAGAGATATTGACAAGCTGGAATGTGTCCAGAGGAGGGCGACTAAAATGATCAAGGGTCTGGAGAACAAGCCATGAGGAGCGGCTTAGGGAACTGGGCATGTTTAGCCTGAAGAAGAGAAGGCTGAGAGGAGATATGATAGCCATGTATAAATATGTGAGAGGAAGCCACAGGGAGGAGGGAGCAAGCTTGTTTTCTGCTTCCTTGGAGACTAGGACGCGGAACAATGGCTTCAAACTACAAGAGAGGAGATTCCATCTGAACAATTAGGAAGAACTTCCTGACTGTGAGAGCCGTTCAGCAGTGGAACTCTCTGCCCCGGAGTGTGGTGGAGGCTCCTTCTTTGGAAGCTTTTAAGGAGAGGCTGGATGGCCATTTGTCAGGGGTGATTTGAATGCAATATTCCTGCTTCTTGGCAGGGGGTTGGACTGGATGGCCCAAGAGGTCTCTTCCAACTCTTTGATTCTATGATTCTATGATTCTCTATGACTTAGAAATAGAGATGAGCACCACCACCCAGAGTCAGACTCAGCTAGACTTAATGTCAAGCGGAAACCTTAACATTTTATTGTGGTGAGTAGTCTAATAACACATGAATGATTGAGACAGGTTTAAAATGGGATAAAATAAAAAACATATTTTTACTTTTAACTAACAGTATTCAGTTGTTTATATTTGGATTCAGAAAATAGATTAATTGTGACTTAAGAGAACCATTTTAACTTCAAAACATGATTTACAACCCTGGCTTGTTTCCCTAATGATAGTCAATACTGAAAATAGTACAAATAATTGTTTTAGTGGAAAACAGAAGCAAAAGCTTCTGTTCTATTATGGCTGTGTGAGAGTGTGTGAGTTCCAGGGTTTACCTCTGCTCAGGCCAACCACAAACGGCAACTTAACTTGGAAGGTTAATAGCAAAATGTTGTTTCCATAATTTTATTATCAATTCACTGTTCTGTGCATATGAGTGTGTGTGCACATTTATGTATGTGTACATATATGTGGGTGTACATACACCAACACACATACACATCTTTTTATAATTACTATTTATTAGATTTATAAGAGCAAACTAATCAACATTTAAAAGAAAGGAAAACGGAAACCAGGAAAAGGGAGAAAAAAGATAAGCATATATACAGCTATCCCTTCGTAGTTTTTACTGGATTTGATTATTCATGGATATTATTAAAACTGTTCTCTCTAGAATTCTCTTGTGCCTTGAGTGCAATGATATGATCAACTTCTTCCAGTCTTGTGGAAGCGGACAACAGAGTTGTATTGGAGGACTTAAGAGATTCCTAAAGTCCTCCAATACAGTTCTGTTGTCAGTTTTCACAGTGTTGTCCTGGAAGATCTAGATCTCTCAGGTAAAATAATTTCTTTGGAATTGTTCACTTCAATGAGGGTCCTGTTTCCCAAACTCCAACAAAAGTGAGGGATGACTTTATAAATTGAGTCTAGTGTCTAGATTCAAGGAAATCACGCTACCCCTCTATCCTGCCTTAGTTAGACCACACTTGGAATACCAATTCTGGGTGCCGCAATTGAAGGGAGGAGTTGACAAGCTGTGTCCAGAGGAGGGGGACTTAAATGATCAAGGGTCTGGAGAACAAGCCCTGTGAGGAGTGGCTTAAAGAGCTGGGCATGTTTAGCCTGAAGAAGAGAAGGCTGAGAGGAGACATGATAACCATGTATAAATATGTGAGGGGAAGTCATAGGGAGGAGGGAGCAAACTTGTTTTCTGGTGCCCTGGAGACTAGGACGCAGAACAATGGTTTCAAACTACAAGAAAGGAGATTCCACCTGAACATGAGGAAGATCTTCCTGACGGTGTTTAGCAGTGGAACTGTCTGCCCCGGAGTGTGGTGGAGGCTCCTTCTTTGAAGGCTTTTAAACAGAGGCTGGATGGCCATCTGTCGAGGGTGCTATGAATGTGATTTTCTTGCTTCTTAGCAGGGGGTTGGACTGGACGGTCCACGAAGTCTCTTCCAACTCAGTGATTATATGACTGTGTGTGAATGTATGGAACTACAACTAAAGATGAAGCTTAAACACAATATTAAAATGCTAAACTCAAACATAAAAGTAAAACCATGAATATAATGTGATATAGCAAATACTAAAATACTATGAACTCTGCCCCCAATCCAAATTGTATTAAAAACAAAACCAAGAAAACTATATTATTCTTCCATTGCAGATCTAAATTAAATTTACTAAACTTATTAGAGCTACTAGTAACAATAACCACAGGTTTTTACACAGTTAGATTTCGTATATCTCT